CTTCAGAATTAGTTTTATTGTGATATATTTCAGAGAGGAAGAGAGAGGGAGAGAGAGATAGAAACATCAATGATGAGAATGAATCATTGATCAGCTGCCTCCTTCATGCCCACACTGGGAATCAAGCCCACAACCCAGGCATATGCCCTGACTAGGAATGGAACAATGACCTCCTGGTTCATAGGTCAATGCTCAACCACTGACCTACGCCAGCCCAGCCAGATATTAACTTCTTTAGTCCTTATTACAAGCCTGTGATATACTCCTACATTATATTCACTTTTTAGAGGCAGAAACTTGAACTGAGAGAAGCTAAGTAACTTGCCCAAGGTTGCACACGTAAGAAAGGGGCAGAGTTGAGACTTAAAACCAAGCAGTCTGCCATGGAAGTCTATTCAACCAGTACATTATTAGCTTGTCATTGTGACTATGCAACCAAGTTCTGAAGGAACTGATAAACAGGAAATAACGTTATACAAAATAATTTATGGTGACAAAAAGTACTGTGCCTTTTAAAGGACATTGAAAAACTGAATCTTTTTAAACAGATGAATAAAATTCAGAAGAATAGAATAAAGTTTATTTTCCTGAGTTAGGAAAGGTGGCTTTCCTGCCACTTACATTTCAGATATTATTGGCAACACGCTAACTCCAAAGCTTCCATATTAATTCTCTTTGGAGGGTGTATTTTATTACATCTTTGAGTTCTATTTGCAGCGCTCAATAGAATAAGGATATTCACTTTATTTTGAAGTGGAAGTTGGAAGAAACAGGATGGGGCATTTGGCTTTCATAATTATGACAAGGACTGAGTTTCTTTTAAAGCTGCCAACTCAAGCGGACTTAGTGGTGCTTGTGCCACAAGCTGCTAACAGTGGGATTCAGTTCACACTGTGACTCTGGCTGAGGTCCACTTTGTCTCTGCACAGAGGGGAGCACTTCAGAGCAAGCAAGGGCTAATTCTCTGCTGTGCCCAGATTAATCTGCAGTATGTTCACTCATGTTCATTATTAAGAATCCCAAAGAGAAGGTTGTCTCTTCTCTCAAAGAGAGCTTGTTGTAGAATATGTCTACACCCAACCTAGTCATTTATCTTAGAAAACAGAATAATCTTCATGTGAAGTCATAACTTGGGGACACAAGACTAAGGGTAGTGCCTAAGTGCTGGAGATGGCAATGAGTCTGCCTGTTTCCACTCTTGCCCACACAATCCATTGTCCACACTGTAGCCAGAATGAGAATGAAAACATTGAGATCACAGTATTCTGCATTCCTAATAGCTTTCCATTGCACGTAAAACCCAAAGGTCTTATAATGGTCTACAAAGCCCTACAACAAGCATGTCAAACTCAAAGGCTAACACGGGCCAAATAAACAAGGTTTAAGTTTATGGGGGCCACATTAAAACAAAAGCTTCAATTTTCATAGAAACATAGGTTTATTTTGATAGAGACATGCTGAATACAAAGGGCTGAAGTAAATGAGTAATCATTAACATAAAATGAAAGAACATTTTAATAAAAATTAATATTTTTCTTGAACATTAACTTGCCAGACACTGCATAGCTACACAAATTAATAAACATAACACAAATAAACCTATTTTTCTTGTTCTCTGAAAGCAAAATATTTCCTGTGGCGCACACCAAACAAGTCAGTCCAAGACTAATAACGTGGCAATGGGCTGCTAAAATATTCGTTGCTGGTATTAGTGGAGAGAACTGGTGCACCTGTGCATAAGGGAAATGAAGGCAACACAATTATAGTAATCAGTCATTAGTGAACGTTATCGTTTGTTATTAATAACTAGAGGCCTGGTGCACAAAATTCGTGCACGGGGGTGCGGGGAGGGTATGCCTCTCAGCCCAGCCTGCACCCTCTCCAATCTGGGACCCCTCGAGGGACATCCAACTGCCCATTTAGGGATGCCCAACTGCCCGGTGTGGGATCTGGCCTAAATGGGCAGTCAGACACCCCTCTCACAATTTAGGACTGCTGGCTCCCAACTGCTCGCCTGCCTGCCTGCCTGATTGCCCTTAACCACTCCCCTGCCAGCCTGATCAACACCTAATTGCTCCCCTGCTGGCCCGATTGCCCCCAACTGCCTTCCCCTGCTGGCCTGGTCCCCCCCAACTGCCCTCCCCTGTAGGCCTGATCTTCCCCAACTGCCCTCCCCTGCTGGCCATCTTGTGATGGCCATCTTTGACCACATGAAGGCGGCCATCTTGTGTGTTGGAGTGACTATCAATTTGGGTATTACTCTTTTATTAGATAGGATTATGTATAACAGGATATTGTAAAAATTAAGTTATGAAATTTTTATTAAAACATTTCTTAGATACCGTTATACTGGCTGGGCCGCAAAAATATTTGTTGTGGGCCACATGCGGCCTGTGGGCTGAAGGTTTGACATGCTTGCCCTACAAGAGCTAGCCCCACTGGCTGCATATTTGATCTCCTCTCCTGCTTCTAGCTTCTTCAGCAAAAAATTACAAAGAAACAAAGAATTGCAGGGAGAACTATAAGTTTGAAGAAACTTAAGAGACCTATAAACC